CAAAATAAATTATATCCCTTGAGAGTGAAACTGGACCGCCCGATTCAGTTCATGTTTAGAAAATTTAGGGCGTGTTTGGCATTCAGCGGGTGTCGGTTAGCGGATAACGGATTATGTTAGCGGGTTGTCAATAGCGGATTCTGTCAGCGGGTTTGACTAGCGGAATAAATTGGCGGATTGTCAGAAAATGTTTAGTAATTTAGCTGTTTGGCCATAAAATTAGTAGAAAAGGTCATTTTTCAAATCGTCAACCCAAAGTTCACATATTAGTAACGTTTTCGTCCAAACTCTAATGCCAAAAAACTATTTATTAAACATCTTTTTCACTTATTGAAAACGCTAAAAGTGGTCAAACCGTCATTTTTTAGCTGAAATGCCATTTACCAAACACACCCTTAATGTTGTAATACTACTTTAGCAATTAAAATTTCATTTAGTTCAGAATTGTCATCTACTACGTATTAATCATTCGCAAAATAACACTCTACATGGCGGTTATGATGTATCTGTTCATACTTTCTCTCTATAGGGTTACCTTCCGGTAACGCCTAGGTTTTCGTCCGCCACCGGCTTACCTAGGTTGGTTCGTCCACCGCTGGTTTGTCGAGAAGAGGCGGTCGTCGTCTAGGCTCTTGCCTAGGTTTCTGTCTGGTGGCGGTTATCCGACCGCGGCACCAGTGATTATTTATTTGGCTGGTTTTTGCTCTCTGGAGGCGTTTTGATTTTGTGGACGGAGGCTTCGGTGTCTTTCTGGTATTGCTCGTAGGGCTGGAAGAAGTATTTGAAAAGCTCGGCACTCTTTTCTGGAGCTATTCTTGCGGACCATTCTCTTCGGCAGATCCAGGTATTACAAGGATGAGCGTGGTGAAGTCGCAGTTATGTTGCTCCGGCAGGATTGTGGATGGGTTGGGATGGCCTTGTCAGGCAAGTCTGTTCAGCGAAGCAACAGACAGAGGGTCGGCTTCTGGCAGGCATGTAGGACCGGCGAGCAAGGAAATCGGGGCTCCTTTGCTCAGATTTTTGTAAACACAAGTATGACAGGGAGTTTGATCAACAAGAAGCAGGATGAGGAAGAAGAAGCGGTACTATTGGTCTGACCTCCTCCTGAACCGCCGCCACGGAGTGAAAAAAAGGCTACGGTTGCAGGCTCTAAATGGTGTAGGTTTGGTATCTTCTTGCTAGATGACGAAGCAAGACTTTTATTTTTTAGCATTCATTTATTTTGATTATCTGGTTTTTGTTGTTTACTTTCAGATTTTTATTTTATTCAACCGTAAGACTGTGGATTTAGATGTGGGTGATGGAAGGATTGAGGTAACCGTCTTTGGCTCAATTGTGCTCATTAATGGATCAGCGAGTTATATTGTTTCTTATGAGGTGATTAACCATGAGTCTGGTTCGCGGGACGACGGTTGTCAGAAATCTTTTTGTTGGATTACCTATTATCTGAACGATGTGTTATCAATTTAAGTCTATTTCTTTCCAAAAAAATTAATAACTAACTATATATAGATCGCATTGATACATTTAAAAAAGTGCTATGTGCGTAATTATTTTGGTCGGTCATGGAAGATCCAAGAGTGAGAAGTAACTATTTTGATCGGAGAAGACGCCGGAGAATAATCATTGTGCTAATTTCTATAGGAGGACTGTTGTTGGCCCTTACGTTTATCACCCTTGGCCTTGTCTTTTCCGTCAGCAGCCCGGATTTCGCCGTCGTCCATGCCCAGCTCATGCCCAACTCCGTCTTCACCGCCGCCGATAACAGCCTCACCGCCGGCTTCAACTACACCGTCAGAACCAACAATCCCAACACAATCACCGCAATTTACTACAAAAACGCAGAAGCTACGCTGTCTTTCGGCCACACGCCGGTAGCGGCTGCCGCATTGTCGGTCACCCCTTTCCGTCTATCCCACCGTGACGCCGCGAACCTTCCCCTGTTTTTTCAGGTCAACGGCACGGTGCTTGACCACGACGCCGCCGTGGACTTCGATAGCAGCATCTCGTCCGTCGCGATTAAAGCAACGTTTCGATGTGTGATTGGCGCCTTGAAAACGAATTATCGCGAGCTTAATGTCGCTTGCAAAATCAACGGCTGGTTTGAGTCGGGGAAGATCAGGTGCAACTAGGTACTAGGTAGTAAACCACGTAGTATCTATCTTAATCTAAAAGGAAAAGAAGTTTGTGGAATAGGTTTCCCGCCTATAACTGTCAACGTCACTACTTATATATTTATTTTTCAAAACAAAAGCCAAAGAAATGTTGTGTAAAGATAATAGTCGATCAAAGCAGATTGAGTTTAAGCCTTTCCTATTGGCCCAGAGAGAGGTGCGCAGAGGTCAAATTTAATTTGAATATTGCTATTGGTCCAAAAAGGCGGTGATCAATGTTGACACTAAATCGTTTATTGATGGTAAAAACAGGAATTGTTTCTATTGGTTGTGAAGGACGGTGAACACTATTGATTTGATTTGCCTTTCCTGTCCGAACAAGTAGCATTGCTACGTCTTAGTATAAAAGCAGCACTCCTGCACCACACTTCTCACACTAATTCGCAAATCAAGCTCCTGTAGCAAAAAAAGAAATACATTTCCTTAAATATGGTTGGTATGTGCTCCATGATTCAAGAGATTGATCAAAGTATTATAAGTTGGGCTATACAGGCAAGGGCCACAAGAGTGTACCGTGAACCTGTCCACGATTGTTGAGGAATTTCATTGTTGAGGAAGCTAATGTCTTGATACAGATCTAGAATACAGTTCTATATGAGGAAAAAATACATAGAATCCCAAAAGTTCTTGCGTTTATGAATGGATATATGAAGCAACCATGGGGTGTGTAATTTGTCAGATATTGTGTCCACATATATTTCCATATTGAATGATCTAAAATGATTTACTATGGTATGCTTTTGAATTACATGTGCATAAATTCCTTTTAATGACAAAAAAGGATGTTTGGAAAAGGAATTGTGTGTTATTCAACGGCAACAGTTATATATCTATATGGGGTTTTGGGATTTTGAACAATTGGTGTGTTCTCAAGAGAGATAGATTATAGGTTGTCAATAAAGAAATTATATATTTCAATATGGTTGTCTTTGGGATCTTGATCCAGATTAGATTCAGGGTATCAAATTCAGTTAAAAGTGCACCAACCCAAATCAAAATGTTTATTATCAACCCACTTACAACCCCAAATCAAAGGAGAGGTTGAAACGGAAGATATCCAACCATTTACAACCCAGGACAAAGAAGAAGCTATTGGAACATCAGTTGCTAACCATTAACTATGTGTTCTTACACAAAAAAAACTTAACAAAATGCTTATTATTTATAAAAATAGTTGTCAATGAGTTTAATTGATTAACGAGGAGTAACAAAGATGAATCTCAAAGAAGGATGATCGGCATCATCTCAAGATGAACTTTCTCGTAAGCCCATCTAGGCCCAGCCCTATGAGAGACATGGGGCCATACTGGCCTGAGTGCCCGACCCCTTAAATAATAATAATAATAATAGTTGTTGTTGTTGTACTAAGTTACTAACAATAAAAATAACAAATAATAATTTTTAGTTAGTAATTTTTAGTAATTACAAGTTATAATACTTTAGTATTACAAATGATAGTTGTAAGAAGACATAACTTACTAATTGCCAAAGTACTTTAAAATTACTAACTTCTAAATTTGTACAACTTAATTTTTAACTACTTAGTTATTTATCGAAAACTATTCTGTTATTGACTATCTAATTATTGTATTTAGTCAAAGAAATAATAATTACGTACTCCGTATTACTCTATTTTTTAAAACTTAAAAAATTTAAACGTATAAAATAAATAATTTAATTTGGAACCAGAAGCCCGAACTGGAATCAAATCGGATTGGATTTGGAACTGTTAGATTTAAAATCGATACTCTGCGGTTCGAGTTCCCCCAAAATTGGAACCACAAACCAGCGATTCGTTTTGATTTCGATTTGAACTACAGACAGGCCTACCCCGACCCCTCGACTGCAAACATCTTGTCCACAACTTAGTATCTGCCACATAAGATAACAAATACAACATTGCAACACGACGACAACAAGGGCGAGGACCCTCATGCCCCTCGGCTTTGAGCACATCGTCCCCAACGAAGAGGCAAAGACCTTGTTAGTTATTCATCAAGTGTAGATTATATTTATGAAATTTCAATTTAAAGTTCAATTGGGAATCAATTAAATTACATTTTTTGAAAAACACTTTATTTTTAATTTTTTTATAGTGACTCTTTGCTGGAAAACACATTATCAACAAGTTCAAACTTTCACCTATTTTGGCAACTCCGAAACGACGGCGTTGTTTACGTTTGTCAACTTAAGGGGTGTTTGGATCTGATTCTCAAAACTGATTCTCCTCCTTCAGGAAGCAGAAGCAGAAGCTGAAGTGTTTGGGTCAAATTCCAGAAGCACTTCTGGAGCTCTAATTTACTCTCAGAATCAGTTTTTTTAGAAGCTGGGAAGTATCGGCTTCTGAAAACTGATTTTGATTATGCTTCTACTTTTAAAAAAGAAGCAGAAGCAGAATCAGTTCCAAACACCCCCTTACTCACTGGAATCATTGGTGTCCGTCCTGGAACTAGTCAGGATGTTTTCTTTTGGACTGTTTTCAGTCCCCAATCAGACCAGACCAGACTTAAACAGACCAGACCAGATCAGACCAGATAATACAAGAATTTCTTAGTTATAAAATACACAGAGACCGGACGTTTACAAGACTAAACCAGACCAAATCAGACTTAAACAGACCAGACCAGCAAATTTCAGTTCAAAAGAAAACATCATCAACTGCCACGTCACTGGGGATATATCACCCAATAGCGATTTTTATTTGATTATTACTCCCAGACTAGTAGACTCCTACTCCGTAAATATTTTTAAGTTACAAAACCGCAAATCTTTTCCATAAAAGTGAACGATTATAAATTTACAATATTTTCGGCTATTCGTTTTTGTGGAGTACGGAGATTTTGTTTTTCTTTTTACGATTTTTAATTTCTTTCGGCTCGTAGAAAAACATTAATACAACTACTACTCGCACTAATCAATCATCAGACATCTCCACAACTGTTTTCTACATCTTGTTGAACTGAATTTACCTTGTAGGGTTTGAGCATTGTCTCGCAGAAAAATCTGCTGAAGAACACTCCTCTTCCCAGGATTTTCTAATTGAGGAAACCCTAAACTTGGAGATGAGGAATTGGGTAAAATTCTTGAATTGAGACTTTTCTAGGACCTTTACTCACGGATTTGTAGATTAAGGACATGGATAGATCAAGATCGAAGAGGTATTACTACGACCAAGACTATGATTCTGATAACCTGCCCAGGACTAAACAGAGATATAACCCACATATCAACCACCATTATGCGCCGCAGTCCAACCACCACCGCCGGTTTGCTTCTGGTGGGCCTGGTCCCGGCGGCGGCGGCGGCGGTAGGAAAATGCAAGACCCTTCGCTAACAGTGACCACCACTTATAGGATCTTGTGTCACGATGTGAAGGCCGGCGGCGTGATTGGCAAGTCCGGCAGCATTATTAAGTCTATTAGGCAGCACACTGGGGCTTGGATCAACGTGCATGAGTTGGTTCAGGGGGATGAGGAGCGGATCATAGAGATTTCTGACACTCGGAGGCGGGACCCGGATGGCCGAATGCCGTCTTTCTCTCCTGCCCAGGAGGCATTGCTATTGATACATGAAAGGATTCTGGAGAGTGATGAGGAGTTTGGTGCTGGCGGGGAGGCCGTGGATGAGTATGGAGTGAGGGGAGGCGGTGGAGGTGTTGCTAACAGGGTGGTCACTAGGCTAGTTGTTTCTAGGATACATGTGGGAAGTTTACTTGGGAAAGGAGGAAAGATTATTGAGCAAATGAGGAATGAGACTATGACCCATATTAGGATTTTGCCCAGAGACAACAATTTACCCCGCTGTGTAGCCATGTCTGAGGAGATTGTTCAGGTTTTCACCAACACTTTGAACCTCTTTAGTTGAAAACTCGGGATCTTGACTTACAAACCTCAATATGATTTGGTTTCGCTTCACAACTTTGATTGGAAGGACTTCATATTGCTTAAAAACGTAACCTTGAACTTATTTATGAACTTCCACTACAATCTTTGAATCAGAAAGTATTACGGAGTATAATTTATAAGCATAAGATTGAACTCTAAAAAATTTCTCTAGTTGTTGTAGCATGCCCAAGTAAATGTAGCGCATTATAAATAATCCATTGGATATTTACAACTATGACTACTCATATGTAACTTATTAGTTAAAGATGGTTGATAATACTCTGGCATGACTTTATGAGTAATGTTTTGTTGGTTTGTATAAATTAAGAATCTTAACGTCAATTTCCTTCCCCTGTGCTCTTTGATTTAAAACAAAAGTGTATTTTTATACCTGGATCAGAGCTGTTTACCTTTTTGGCATTGCCTGGTTTTTCTACTTCTTGAGCGACTCCACCTTTTCGTGCAGGTCACGGGTGAATCGAATAATGTAAAACATGCACTAGGAATAATTTCCTCACGCTTGAGGGAGAGCCAACACCGCGATCGCAGTCATTTTCATGGAAGGTCTCATTCACCTGAAGGCTTCTTTCCCCCGAATGATGATTTTACCTCTCCCGTGAATGATTTTGGACGCAGAGCATCTATTGATGAGCCAAGATTTTCTGGGAGTTTCAACAATTCCAGGGGCTATAATAGTAAGTCCCCTCGCCCCATCGAATTAGGTGGTGCTCCTTTCACCGACAACAATGTGCAACCCATTGCTGTTGATGTTCTTGTGTTTAGAATTCTTTGTCCAGTTGATAAGATTGATACCGTCATTGGGGAGTCCAGTGGGATTATAGACTTGCTTCAGAATGATATGGGTGTGGATGTTGAGATCACTGACACTGTTCTTGGCTCAAATGAAAAGATTATTACCATATCATCTGATGAGGTAATTTATTCATTGCATCTGTCTTCATCTATCTTCTCTTTTGTTTATTGGTAATTTTGCTATACAGTTTTTAACTTCTTATTATTATATGGCATCTTTGTACACTAATGAAAGGGGATGCTGTTTTTGGTTCTTGTTTTCATGTTCTCTAAAGTTACTTGTCAGTTGTCACCATAATTGTTTTTGTAAATATTTGTTACTATGATTTTAAAAAAACTAAATCAAAAGGTATGCTGTTTTGGTTCTTGATTTGAATAAAGTATTTTTTCTTGATTTTTTAATATAAAGTTCTTTGTTGCCTGGGTTTTAAAAAAGAGATAACTAAAAAGAAAGGTTGCATATATAAATCGTGATGATGAATCTCCTGGATCATTACCCTGTGCGTAGGGACCCGATGACGAGCTCTTTCCTGCTCAAGAAGCTCTCTTGCATATACAAACAGCCATTGTTGATCTTTTTCCAGAAAAGGAAAACATAGTCACAACTCGGTTAGTTGTGCAATCAGATGAAGTCGGATGCTTAAGAGGCAAGGATGGTGTAGCATCTGAGATCCAGAGTCTGAGCGGTGCAGCTGTGCAGATTCTTCCCAAGGAAGAATTTCCATCCCGTTTATCAAAAACTGATGTGATTGTACAGGTGTGTCCCTGCTCAACTGCTATTCTAAATACCTATGCACTTCTTCCATTCTATTTTAATTAAGATAGTTTGGCTTTCACATTTTTGAAAACATGTAGTCCACCATTAATGTATTTAATTATCAATTATCAAATTATCTGAAAATAACAATATCTTATGCTACAGGATATGTCATTATAATTAGTAAAAAAATATGGTCAAGGTAAGGGTATATGAAAAGAGTCGAAGTCAAACTGTTGCACTAATGAGCAGAGGAATCATTACTTTTATATCCTTATCCAAAACTGTTGATGTCGTTAGTTCTTGAGGTACTCATCCTCTTGCTGGATGAACTAACCAACTAACCTTTTATGAGCACACGGAGAACCTGTCTCCAGTATTTGTCAGTGTTCGTTGTGATTATATCTCTATTAGGAAGATTATACGATTTTGATAACTAGTGCATTATGCAGATTGTTGGTGAGATTAAAGCTGCTAGACTTGCACTTATTGAGGCTACTGCCAGGCTAAGGAGTTACGTATATCGAGAGCTCTTCCTGAAAGAGACACGTCCTGTAGGGAAAGTTAATGGAACTGAGATCTGTTTGTCTCAAGAAAGTAATGATTTAACTGATCATCCTCCTGCCATTCAAAATGGTTCAAGAATACCAACATCCAATCCACTGAAGGTATTTTCTACAGTCTGTGTTTCAGAGGATAAGGAGGCTCTTACATCTTTTCAACTTTTGAAGTGTAATAGTTAATAGTTATATCCTGTATGAAAAAAGAGTCCCACCCCCTTCAATATTGCTCTAGTGTTCGTTTTACTTCCTTTGGGGATACCGGGATATAGCACATAATCCACTTTTTCACTTTCTTGACTTTGACCATAAGACCTCAGAATCTTTAGTTAAAAAAAGTCAGTATGTCATTCATAGAACTGCATTTCTGTCACAGGAAATTGAGGTCCACGTCAGCGAGCCATCAAAGCGAAATGATGGTGAACGCCTTAGAGATATGCCAAGTGGATTGAATAGGTAAAAATCTACATTCATCTCCAATGGGTGTGTTTCATTCGTTGACAGTCCTTTGAAATTCACACACCTCTTTTCTTTGCGTTTCAATGATGATATAGAATACATGTGCCATTAGTCACTAGAAGTACATTGGAAGTAGTCATTCCACCACATGCGGCTCCAAAACTAATAACCAAATCTAGAAACAAGCTTTCTCAGATCAGTGAGGTGAGTTGTCATTCCACTGCTTTTACTACTTGCTATACACAATTATATTTGGCAGGACTTCTTATACATTCTTTTCCCCCATGGATATGTAATGTTCTACAGCTATCAGGAGCTACTGTCAAATTGATTGAAGATAGACCGGAAGTAACAGAAAAGACAATCCAAATATCGGGTACACCAGATCAAGCTGAAAGGGCTCAGAGCTTGCTTCAAGGATTTATTTTGAGCAGTATGTCTCTTACTGCTCTCTACTCTATTATGGGACAGTTTACAACTTAGAGGAAATGGATATGCTTTTTCTTTTATCTATGTATAAGCATGAGTCGTGGGGTGGCCAAGACTCCAAAAAGTTTAAGTTTTGGGCTGGCTGGAAGAATTATCATTTTATAGTTTATACTCTGTAAATTTTTACACACAAAAAAAAGTTACACAAGGAAAAGGGTTTTGCTGAAGGTGGGGTAGACCTGGGCTTGGGTTGGCCCACACCTACATACACCAATTTGCATAAAGCTTATTTAGCATTATTCTCTCAATTGTATTGATATAATTTCTATTGATTTGCTATCCAGCGCAAGAAGATGGGCCCTGAACAGACTTGGACAAATTTTGATTGGTCAGGTATAGCTACTGAACTTTCTGTGTTATATTATATATACTAGGGTGTGTTAGACCATAACAAGGCTTGATATGTATGTGCAAGGTTAAAAAAACAAATGTCAGCTCTTTGTTAAATGTAATTTATAATGTTTTTGCTCTTGAATGTTGTTTGCTTGTAAATTATACACAAGTTCCTGTGTTGCTTAAGATTGTCGTTAAATCCAGAACTCGAATCCAAAGCTTTGCTTTGCAAAATACAAAATGGTTACCATGAAAATTAGAAATTTGTAGTTCACCGCAACCTACTATTGTGCCCATAAAGTTTGAAACCATCCTCAGACACTACCAAGTATCGAATGCATCCCGCAACTTGATATTGATAGACAAGAAAGAAATGACCATTTGTTCTTCGAATGTGATAGCAGAGCATGTATTTGGTTAGAAATTTAAAACTATCTGGGCATGACAATGAAGTTGCTTTAGCTCATTAGTGGCTAAGGAATGAAAAGGGCCTTAGGGTGTGTTGGTCTTAACACCCTGCTCGCAACTGGGACGTGTTTGAGAATGTATAAATACTTCTTATCATAACTGTTAATGTATCAAATCACAATTATCTTGTGTTGTACATATCCATATGATTTTCTTAGTTCATTTACTTAACATATGAAGGGTTAAGCATTGTGATTTTGTACAAAACATGGTATTCTTGCAAAGCTTTGGTTAATATTGTCCGCGGTATATATTGTATTGGTCAGTAGGAGTAGGTCAATGTTTCTTGTTTCTTTTCAAATACATTTTAGACCCACCCCTCTGATCGTATGTTTCTCACCGTGCCTAATTTCTTCCTTTCATATGCTAGGATTGCTAGCCCACCCTTTTCTTTACAAAGACATAGAATTGGTCTTTGTAGATGGGGCAGTACCGATTCTTTGCCCCAGCCTAGATTGCCGGGACAGAGTTCCCCCTATCATTCTTCTCCCTTTTTCCTTCAAAAGTTGAAGCTGGAGAATTTAAAATGGTCACACCATGTGTGAAATGGTTTCTACTAGAATATTTTAACCACAAAGTTGATTACGTGACCTGTTGGTGAGAAATGGTCAAACAGTTTGGATAGGAAACCCCAAATAACACTACAACATCGAAGCCTTAATCTCAAAAGATATTGAGGTTGGTTGGCAAACCCAGAATAACACTATAAGCTTGAATTCACCTCGAGGAAAAGTGTCTAATTGATGAAATGGTCTGTTTCAAGAAAAATATTCAAGTCAATGTAACCAGTAACTTAGTGGAATCCGTCACTGTAATCAGTCACTGGTTTGTGGGTAAAATCGGGACATCTACGGTTTGGATTGGCAACATGTTGAATAGCTCTTTTCTGTCGGGATGGGACTAGGGATGGACTGGGCTCGGGCGGCCTGACCCGGGATCGACCTAGACCGGTACTACTTAGACACCTAAGAAATGTGGGGCGAGTACTTTTTCTAAGAAATGTGCTGAAATCCTTATAAGAGATTGAGTGATGTAGCCATGGACCGGGTCGGTCCGGGCCCGGGTCGGGCCAGATGTTGACCGGGACCGGCCCGGATGTTGACCGGTGCCAGTTCGGTCCGGGCCCGACCCGGCCGGGTCCGGTTCTATTTTTTTTCTTGATTATTTCATCCCCTACCCCCCATCCCCCAAACCCATCAGAAACACCCAGCCCAGCCCATTTAAACCCAGCCCAAACAAAAAAAAGTAAAAAAATAAAAATAAAACAGGCCCAAATTGGGCCTGGCCGGTTTACATTTAAGCAATCCCGGAACCGGCCCCGGTTTCATCCTTAAACCGGGCCTAGACCCGGAACTGGTACCTGGTTCCTGGGCCGGGCCCAAACAGTGTCGGGTCGGGCCCAAACAGTGCCGGGCCGGGTGACCCGCACCAAGTCCAACACTAGAGTGATGTGGTTTACGCTTACGGCTTACCTAGTTATCTGCTTCTTTGCTAAAAATTGTGTTTTGAACTTTTGATTTACTAAATGTACACACAAAACAAGGTCTAACACTAGCAGTAATCATTGACATATATGTAAATAATATAATTACATCAAGTGGGGGTGGACCGGGCCCGGTTTGGTTCCGGTTCGGGCCTGGGCCCGTCCGGGCTTGGAAGGTTTTGGGTAAGGCCGGGCCGGGAGTCTACCGGTGCCGGTTCAATTTTTTTTTGTAGTTTTGTTATTTATTTCAAGCCCCCACCCCCCCAAACCCCTTGGAAACACCTAGCCCACCTAAACCCAGTCCAAACCCAAAAAAAAGGCCCGAACCGGGCCGGCTTGCCTTTTTTATGACCTAGCACCGGTTACCCCCTCGGGCCGAGCCTAAGCCCGGAATCGGACCCGGTTTTCCGGGCCAGGTCGGTTCTGGTCCGGGCGGCCCAAACCGAGTCCATGCATAGCATCAAGAGATGTTCACTTCTTTGAAATATACTTGGGTCGAAAAAAGATATAGTACGGAGTATCTTTTACAAAGCATCATGGTACTGTAATGGGTTTTGATCGAACAATTGAAGAGCCTACTACTGAGGAACCAAAATGCACTGAAAGGGTTCAATAGTGAAATTTATTCCACTATGCGTTAATAGCAATAACACTTGAGAGTTGAACACCACAATCCACATGGATGTAAGTTTTTGGGATGTAAATGAATACTTAGGAGTTAGGAGGTACAAGGTTTATCGAACAATAGATAAATACTCCGTTTAAAAGAAAGATGGTAGTAAAAGGATTATATTAAAGAGAATATGTTGGTTTTTACTTTTTGTGACCCTTATTCGTTACGGACAAATCACTTTCGTTAGTATTTTGATTTGATATTGCAGCATTAAATAATCTCAAGATAAACTAAATGGAGTAATATGTATATGACTAAAAATGGCTCATCACGCGAGATTGGACATTCACGAATCAGGACTATGAAAAAAAGTGTGCTCATTAAATATTTAAATCATTATTATATGGTCAGATGGTCTTTGAACAAGCACCAATAAGTGGCATGAAAAAACCTATAAGTCAATGTCACTATAAAATAGATTCATGGCTAAGAAGTGTATTTATATTGAAAGACAACGGAATCTCGTCCGATATTTAATCATATAAAATATCATTCACAACACCACCTTAACATCATACAAAACATTTTGACAAGAAAGATAAAGGAGAGTTTGTAATTGCTTGATTGCTTCTACTTTTAAAAAATGATTGTTATGATAAAAAAAAAGTAATTGTTTAAAGTGATTTTAAAGAAAGCGTATAATAGTAAAAGTTTGTCGAATTTGAGAAAAAAGTGTTTCTGACAAAAAGCAAAAAGTTGATAATGTTTAATAAAAAAAAGTGTTTTTTTTTATGTAATAGAAAAGGTGAGAAATGTCTAAAGCACTCCTTCACCCCTTATTAATACTCTCCCTCATTTGCAAAAGTGGACTAATGTAAGATTTTAAGAAAATAACAAGTTGGGCTTTATTATTTTTTACGATCTCCCATAAAATAGAAACAGTGAAGTACATGGAATTGTGGAAAGAGTAAAGGAGAAATTTATCACTATTCATCTCTCCGTGCTTCAAATAGAAAGTAACAAACCATTTTGGGACAATCGAAATTTCACAAATCAAATAGGAACGGAGGGTATTGTTCTAAATTTAAGAACTTAAGAATGTACTTTGGTAAATATTATTCATATGATGTCATGCCAATAAAATCACCTGTTGGTCTTTATCACGACAGGAATGCTAAAGGATTGTGATTACGTTAATGTAATTGACAAAGTTCCCACTTCACACATTTAGATCTAATATACGTAGCACGTCTTAAACCGGTTTAATAGGTGCACGAGCAATCCAAGTAATGAACACTAGCAAACATGGGGGGAAATGCAATATTTAAAAGCTTAAAGCACATAATTCATGGTTAACATCAGGGGTGTGGCTCGGGGGGGGGGGGGGGGGGGGGTGTAACCTTGGCATCGGCCTAATCCAAATTTTAAAAATGTCTATATTTTTAGTGTAGAAAATTTTGTGTAAAACTTTTTCCAAAAATATTTTTCGTACTGGTCCAGACCGGCCCATTGCTCTGGCTCCACCCTGGTTAACATTATACAAGATAATCAAGCACTTGAAATGTAATTAGATTTGTGACAAGGGTTCCAATTTTGTAATTAGTTATGTACTTGTAAGTGGTTCGGAGGGTGGTTATGTACTTATGTGGTTCTAAGGAGGTGTTGTGTCAAGGGAATTGTTTAAAGTTTAAACGATGCACAGAGCTTGATACAATGGAAATATGAGTTTATGTCACTAGATAAAGCAATATGAGACTATAAGAGGCCAAAGGACTAAGAGATTTCCCTGTGGAATTAAATCTAATTTAATTCTTAAAAGTTTCTCTTAAATATTACGGAGTAATATATTTTAGGAAAACATTAAAATTGTACTCCCTTCGTCGCATTTTGGTCGTCTTACTTTTCTTTTAGTTTGTCCCAAAATGGATGTCATGTTTTCTTTTTGGTAAGAAAATTGTGATCCATATAATTTCACTTCATCATATTCAAATCTCAATCACAACTTTTACTTTTTAACCACTTTATTAATAACTGTGTCAAATTGAAATGAGACAACCATTATGGAACGGAGGTAATAATAGTTATATAGATATGGTTCAATCGGCTTGGACTAATATTCTAAGTGTGGACCGGACCAGACTGGAATTGGATACTTCAAAAGTCTAAAGCATTGGGCCGATGACCAGATCGCTATGTAACACGTCTGAGGCTGGTCCGGACCTACTAGTCCGGTTCGTTGTTTATTATGTAGACTGGAAAATATGCTCAGCCCTAAACACAATAATGTCACTCATGGTTTGGGCCAGTTTCGCACTCGGTCTAGCCCACCCAAGGAAGATCTTAGGTCACCGGTCAACGGTGATCACCATGATCAACCAACACCTGACGTGAATCATCTTTGAGCATCACAAGGGGTCGACAACCAAATAGCTTGTCACCACATGACGACTGGACAGTAGTAGACACCTATTCATTACAAGGCTGGTCGAGCACCACTCAATCAAACTTCTTTTTCAGATACAAATCTTGTTAGGGACCTACCTTGTATGTTGGTCATGGTTCTAAAAAAATTGGTGGGCTGCCTACGCAGTAGTTAGGTGGTCTGGATTAAATTTATCAAAATTGCTATGGGTACCCCAAGTATACCCCATTTCATACCCCATATAAAAATCATTCCAAAAATTTAACCCCCCTCTCCATTCCCTCACGTTTGCCTTTCACTCTCCCCCTCACCTCCCTTTCCAGATCTCCAACCACCTTTTCCCTTCCCCAGCCAGTTCTGAAAAACTCCCCACTTCCCATCGTCGCCGACCTCAACCCTTCCCAACTCGTCCGCCACAACCGCCATCCTCACCCCCACGAATCAATCGACATCAAGGGCGAGGACCTCATCTCGAGCTAAGGGTTCACAAACCCAAGGAAAGAATCGCCATCTAGAACTCCTGAACTGCTCACCACCGTCCTCCTCAAGGTTTTAAGGTCCATGGTTCGTACAAGCTTAACAGAAATGGCAGAAAGGTATGTAATTTTTTCATTTTTTTGGATTGATATTATCTTGGTGTAATAGAGTTGTAATTTTGATGTTGTTTGTCATTGTGTTTGTGAATACTTTGAACTTGTTTTGGTTGTGTGTGTGTGACTTCGTTTTGAATTCTTGAAAGTACATTTGCAATTTTCTGTGATGTCATTATAGTGGTCTGGTCAGGCGTATGAGATATATGTCATTTGAAATGAGTTGTCTGGAAAGTCATTTCTAGTTGTTTATCATGTGAACATAGTTGTCTGGCAAATCATTAAAATTGTTGTGTAGTTGTCTGTTATGTGAACATAATTGTCTGGCAAACCATTAAATTGTCTGGCACCTCATTTTGATATAGAATTGTTATGCATGTGATATGGAATTGCTTAAAATTGTTGTGTACTTGTCTGTCAAGTGAACATACTTGTCTGACAAACCATTAAAATTAACTGGCTCCTCATTTTGATATAGAATTGTTGTGCATGTGATATGGAATTGCTTAAAATTGTTGGGTGCTTGTCTGTCAAGTGAACATACTTGTCTGTCAAGTGATATAAAAAATACCAGGCTTTTTGAGTATAAAACCAGTACAAGTTGGAGCTACCTAAAGAGATTGGATGAAGTCAAAGAGAAAAAGGTGTTGAAGAAACAATTTACACTGAATACACAATCGCAGTTTACGTACAAAAAGGAGGAAGGCAGCATACAGGATTGCTTCTTTGTTTGGCATTTAGAAAAAGAGAAGCCTGACATTCTCTTGTAGTGAGATCTTGTTTCATCAATACTCATCAAGGTAAGTGTAAAGCATGTCATCATTCTTTGACTTGCGCCTGCTGCTGAGCAAAGCTTTAAGGAGACGCTTACTTTTACTGGGGCGACGGTCAGAGTCTCTGGGATCCTTTCTTTCTGCATGCAAAGCCAATGGTGTCGCCTTCCGACTTTCTGAAGTGTACGTCTTCAAAAGGCATTATCCAGAAAATCAGATATCCCAGAAATAGATTTCAACTCCAAGAATGCTGATAAGATAACCAATGGGACCAACAAAAGGGAGTCCCGAACCCCTAGGTGGGTGTGGGAAGGGGGAACTATAGTGCCGATTTTGAGCCAGAATTGTATGTGTATATATAAGAAAGCTATGTAACTATATAACTATTCAGTAATTAATTGTTACATTGTCTTGACATTATAGTTCTTGCCATTCCATATATTCTGTTAATAAACAAAAATGAAAAGAATGTATACTTAATTACATTGTCATGTCTTGACAACACTTCATAATGTTTACTAAATTTCTATAATTTAATATTATATAGATGTATTCAGAAAAAAGTACATATGAAATACTAATGGACTCATTTCTTAATACTTTTTCAACACACTATGCAAAACCCTAACTTTAAATCTCACAAATTACTCATTGCCTGTGCATCCCACAAGCTTGAGAGCTAGTTATATAAGTAAGTGAAAAGTAATGACTAAATAAAGCACAGTGTGCATAAATTATGTTTAAAACTTTAAAAAATCTTTCATTTGATAATAATGACATAGAAACAAAGTTACATAAAAAGGCTGCAAGTGAATCTAGAAATCACATATTAACGGCAATATGCAAAAGATGTGAGCTTACCTGTGCTCTAAGAAATGGGGTAGGAGTGGGCGGTCGGCTTGGATTTGGGATGGTTGATTGACAACTCTTAGGTGTCGTTGGCTTACTAGAAAGAGATGCACTTCGTGAATGACGAAAATGGTGAGGCGACGCTGTTCGCTTCTCTGATCAAGAAAACAAAGGCCATGAATAAGTCTGATTTGAGCATAGTGTTGAAGGGAGGAATACGAAGAAATGAAGAGCCAAGTGCAAAAGGGAGGGAACAAACCTAACTCCCTTTTAGGCATGGTGCCAGAGGTGGGGAAAGAGGGTAAGGATTGCAGCATAAGTTGAGGAGAAGGTGATGGAGGGTGCTCTTTTCTGCTATCCATTAAACTTTACCTGAGTTACCAAGTAAATAATGAATGGAACAGGGAAAACTCAAAGAAAAACTTACCCAGGTTCAGTTTTTGGAGCATCCAACGTTTTTGCTTCAACAGCTGCAGATAATTGTAAGACAACTGTTATCATATATGGACTTGATAACAAAGAGATGTTATTATAATTGATAATAGAAATAATGACAAATATATCACCAACAAAAAACATGGACAAATTTATGAGTTTATGACTCTACACTCTACAGCACGATGACGATAATGGTGTTTTCAGTGGAGTGATGGGTGATGTTTAAATTTACTATGCAGTGACTACTAACTGTGTACTCTTATTTACTATACATTTATTTTAGTAATAAAATGAGTAATCATATCTCTATTCCTAAAAAGTAACTCTATTCCTATTATTTATTAATATGAGAAATCATATTGTAGTAGCTTAGCACAAAGGCCCTGAGAGCCTACAAATAAACCTAACAGGGGATAGAATTATCACAAGAACTTTCTGAGTTAAAAATCATTAAATCCTTATTCTCTCATTGGACGAACTAGAAGAGACCACGCACGTGGTCGGCTGAAGCACAAAATAAAGAACATTATTTTATGTTCATTACCACATATCTGTTAAGTCTTAATACCGAGGAGATTCTTCTGTTATGCATAACTCAGCGATACTAATATGAGTAACACGAGAGATAAATACATATTAACTTTAATAAGATAAGAGGTTAATCAACCATCATGCTACCTTTATTAAACTGATGCCCGGCATTTTTATCATCAATATCACACCTGGTGTCCCCTAGTGATGAAAAAGGCAGAAATAACTCTCAAACTCTTTCTTCATTGTAAAGAAAACTGTGGAAAATGCGGAAAAAGTTATATTTACCTGGCAATAAGTACCTTTTACAGTGTTTCGGGGTTTTTATGGTTAGTGATTGCTGAGAAATACCCTCTCGGTCAATATACTCCTGGCATGTCCGTAGTCTCTGGATGACAATACAGGAAATGAATGTTCAAAGCCTGTATCCTCCCCTCTATCCCCAGTCCTCACAATTACACACATCACATCATGTAAAAAAAATAAGCAGACCAAAGTTATTATGCCCTCTAGTCATATCTGGTTAGCTTTTGTTTCCCACTCAATCTTCAAAATCAATTTCTTTATCTTATCATATATATATATATAGAGTTTTTAGTCTTACGAAGATATAAAAAGCATAGGATCACCTGTTCAACACAAGATATACGAAGTTCTGTTCCAGAAACCTCCACAACTTTTTCATCCAACAAATCATTGGCCTTATATGTCACAGAGCCCAAATGATCAACGGTGTTTAGAAGAGCTTTGATGGCATAATCCTTCAACGTATTTGCCACTCTGTACAACCAGCACCAAACTTCAGAACAAACTAAGTCGAAGAAAATGAGGCTAATGAGCTAAAAATCCCTCCAATAAATTACAAAAACTAACTCACGCCTGCTTTTGTTCATGATTTATATAAGATAACTCAAAATATTCAGCCGCAGAGTAGAGTTGCTTTCTGAGATTTGCCAAGTCCTGAAAAAAAAATGTAATATGAAAAAAACACTTACCAGAATGAGACAAAATCATAATCGCCCAGATCTAATTTCTACTTGTTGGGGGGCAGCATGAAATTTGTAATATCAACTAATTTAGTTCAAACTATATCTCACGCAAATAAGTATAGTGGTAATGGAATTAAAACAAAGAACAAGATTGATATTGTTAAATTAACCTGCAACAAGAATAACTGAATAAATAAAAGCAGTAGAGAGAAAATATGTGAATGTTTCTGTACTACTCCGTATCTATTAAGGTCTGAAGTTTCACTCTAATATGTCAAACTAACTTAGGGAGTAGCTAGAGGTCTAGTTTATGATCTTACATTTTTATATTAGGCCAGTATGAGATGACATAACACTATCCCACCCCAAACTGCCAGTGTTCCCATGAGGTCTAGAAATTTTATCAAAACTTGAACATGCCTAAAATGCATTGTTACGTCCCCCACCCCCCACCCCCCGGATAGAAACAGCTTGCCAACCTGCTATAGCAAAGCTTATAATCTCTGAGCCCAAAGTAGGAGGCCATTTATTCACCCAAAATTAGGACCAATTTTTAAGTAAGGACCAAAAGTTTGAATTGTCTATGAAGTGCCTCAAGAAAGCTCCATTAAAGCCAGCAAAAAAAGAAATTACCTCAAGACTATCTGTTAACAGCATATTTTGCGGCAGCGAAACCTCGCCATGGTTGCTTGGTCCTCGAGAAAATGGCATTGTAGTGGTTACAGTTTCTAGATGATATTGTCTGGAGGAAGAAGCTTTTGCTAGGAAGAACTTGAGTCCATTTCCTGCAAGAACAGTCTTGAATTATGGAGCAACCATAGAGATCCTAATCTTGGACTACCGTTGTTTACATTCACTTAAGCCCCTTGGGCAAAAAGATCCATATTTTTCTAAAACTAGCAATAAAAGTAGAAACTATTCTGTCACTACCCACACTAGCTAATATACAGATACTAACTCACATGTATGTAACCTTCGGTTATTCTACTCATCTGGTCATGTTGGCCTTTTAGTACGTAAACTAAGTCTTACTACGTATTAGAAACAACCAAAGTGTTTTTTAATTATTGCAAACATAGCCTATATTGTACAACAAGGAAACGCGTTTCTTATTTTCTTTTAATTACAAAAACCACCCTCCTTTATTTACTCCTCGTACACAAGAACAGGCAGCTAATATCTCAGTTCAAGTTTAAAAAGGCAAAGAGTGAGTGATGGACAAGACCAAGAACAATACTTCAAACGAAAAGTACAATAAAGGAAAAAATAAACAACGGGGCCAAGGCAATCCCTTTTCCATCTCCATTCCAACAACCCCAGGCTTAAAAGATGGTTAAGCATCAGAAACTGAGATTTTTTAAAGCTAATCTTCTCTGAACCTTAACCAACACGCCCTCATTCTCATGTACGTAGTACTAGAATATTCCTACTCAAAGGTGCAATCTTTGAATTAAAACTTCGAGTGTTAAGAATAATAGATAAAATGGCCAAAAGAGTAAAAGAAAAATTATCTCAGAGCTTACCTTCCAGTGAAATTTGAGGGTGTTCTTTGACTGTTTCACGGTACTGGAAATAAAAGAAAGACTCGCATTATGAAGATCCAGCTGTGCTTTGGGCCTTTTGGGCATTTGCTAAAAAAGTTGATGGTCAAGGCATGAGTCATGAGTAAGCCAAACAGGGAATATGAACCGTTTGGTTAACCGGGGAAAACGACAGTCCGGCTGTTCCCTAGTGCTGTTGCATATTGCGGACTGCACACACGCAATGACGCAATTCGACAAAAATAAAAGAACATAGAGAGGCCATTGATAATGAATTAATGATGAGATATGGCCCAATGTAATAACCCGTATTTATGATAAAATTATGACTTCAATGGTTAAATCTTTTTTATTTATAAACAAATTTCATAAATTTTAGCTAATTAAGTAGGAAAAGTAAGGGTTATCGGAAGATAATGCCTAGCCGTGGTGTCCGCCGCCAATTTTGCCTAGGTGGTCTCGACCACCGTTGGGGGCTGGTAGGAGTGCAGTTTGTTTCTTCCTTAGGGCTTATCGCCGCTGGGGTCTAGTTTTCTTCCCTAGGGCTTTTCGCCGCTGGGGTTCGTTTCCCGTTTTCGTTTTATTAACGAAGAATGGTGCTTAGGTTGTGGTGTAAGTGAACGACGACAGTGGTCTGGGCTTCGTCGGAAGGGCTCGGTCGCGGATTGGGTTTGGCCAAACAGGAAGACGCAGGGGACGAACGAAGGGAGGGGATCTCCATGTCAGGAGAAGTCGACGCTGTGATTACAGATGAGAAAATCAGCCTTCCGGGGTTCCAAGATTTGATAACATATGTTTGGCGCCCGGGGAAATCGCTTTGGTGCAACAACAATGATGAAGTAGAGGTGGTCGAGTCGGAGGAAAACCACTCTGGTGCAACAACAATCGCTGCGAGGGTTCGGCCTCCCCCAAAACCACCGCCGTGTTTTCATATGGTGGTGTTGGTGAAGAAAACAAGTGATGGTGTTGTTTTTATTGTCTGTTTTGTTTACTTCTATTTCGGATGCTATGTTCTGTTTTTCTTTGGGAAAATGGAAACTAATAATCCAACCTTTTAGTGGTCTTCTTATAATAGTCTCACCTTTTGATTATTCATGAATAATCCAACTTTTGCACCTCGTCTTCATTTACTGGTCCGTGACCGGTTGATGACTTGCTATTCCAAGTTATTTTCTTATCATTGTAAACCATTATACCATAAATCTCACCTTTCACAAAGATAATATTTTGCAAAAATAAGAAAATAACTTGGAATAACAGGTCATCAACCGGTCAGGGACCAGTGAATGAAGATGAGGTGCAAAGGTTGAATTATTCATGAATAATCAAAAGGTGAGACTATTGTAAGAAGACCGCTAAAAGGTTGGATTATTAATTTCCATTTTCCCTTTTTCTTTTGTGTTTGCAATCCTTGTAAGACTCTTGCATTAGGTTTGGGGGATGGAAAGTCTGCGGTAACCGTCATTGGCTTTAAGTTGCCCAATTTTGGTCTAGCGAGTTATACTGCTTTGTTACAGGTGGTTAACTCTCAGTCTCGGCCACGGGCGGATGGTTATTTGTGGTTCTTTTCTATTTTTGTACCCTTGCTGAATGCTGTTTCTATGAATTAAGTCCTTTTCGAGCAAAAAAAAGTAGGAAAAGTAATTTGAATATCATTTATTTTGATTACTACATTTTTCAGCGCGTAAAATCTAAAGTTAAATTTCAAAAGTTAGTTGACAAGGCTAATATGTTGAAAAAAATGTTACTAAACGACTCTATAAATGATAAATTGATATTGATAATGACAGACAAAGTGAATAGAATGAAAGAAATAGACCAAGAAAAAAATGTTTACTTCCCAAACACGATTCTATGTTTTTATTTCCGAGAAAATTGCTTAAAGTGAGACTATTTCATAGTTATTTGACACAAATAAGACCTTCTTAGTAAACTTCCTTTTGTATATCTATAATAGTTCTATTTTTAGAAACTTAATTATGAGATACCTAAACTACCCATGCCTTCTAACGACCTAAGCCAACAGAGACGAACTACGTGCGAACTTTGAAGATTTGCATTGAAAATTTGAATTTTACCTGCAACATTATCCTTCATAATTTCCATTCATCAAAGCTAAGGGTTCTTCAAAATCCTTTGATATAATACAGTGCTTTTATCATCCAGTGCAATTTGTGGATTGTTCCTTCTGCGATTTATTGTTAAAGCTTCATGTATGTTGTTATTCTCTGTATTTTTGCACTTTTGTAGTCTTTGTATCATACTCTTAGTTGTTTATAAAATTCCTAGTTGACATATTATTAAAACTTTATTAGATATGTATCTCTCAAATTTGTAAGCAGAACACTTTCGCAATTAGGTCAATTATTGCTTAGTAAACTTTGAGCTCCTCCTGCAGCAATAACCTATATCCCTTTAGTTCATCTCAATTTGTGGATCATTTATTTTAGAATTTTGTTGTTACAGCTCTCCATGTGTATGTATTATTCTTAGTTGTTTATATACTAGTTTTCAAGCCCGTGCGATGCACGGGCAGTACGTAATTTAGTTAATTTTAAATGTCTTTTTTTAAAAAAGAATTAATAGTGGAATAAATTTATATACTAATAATTGAAGTTTTTCATTGACACTATAATATAAGCTCGAACAATGCTAAATTGATTGTTTTACTTGATTCTGACCGTTTACAAATATTATTTTATCGTGACATACATCTTAACCTATACATACTTCTTAATTCAAATATGACTTAATAGAAAAAAAAAAGTAAACAACCCTTCAATTTAATATATAGCTCGTTTGGTAATAATAAAATTGATTGAATTGACTGATTATGTTGAAATTGATTAAGTTTTGTCTGAATGAGATTCATAATTATTTTAATAGCGTGAAATTCAAATAATTTGTCTGATTGAGACATTTGCACGACTGAATTAACGATTTTAATTTCTATACCTTGTTTATTAACTTTTTCATATTTCATATAAAAATGAATGTCATAAAACTTTAGTGACTTTAGAGAATTTTCTCAAAATGCTCAATGTGACAAATTAAAATAGGCGTACTACATTACTTTATACGTAGTATATCTTAGTGAAAGCACCTTATGTAATTATACATCTCGTATCACAAATTATGTGTGCCATTAATGTCATGACAATATACTCCAGTTTTCACTCTAAAAAAAATACTCCAGTTTTCTTTCATGCCGCGGTAACCCTTTAACTTGTACTCCTTACTATCATAATAATCTCTTAACATGTAAGTCAGATTTTAATTTCTATACCTTGTTTATTAACTTTACGTGTTTATAGGGTTTATTCCCTTTCGTTACATGTATCATTAAAAATTGTAGCAAATTTTCTGAACTTTTTTTTTAATTTTCAAGTAAGTAACTTTCATCTCAGAGAATTACTTGGGAATATAGCACCTCCAAAGGATCTTTAACTTATTGCACTCATCAATATCAAGATCTATGTACACCATGCTTGAGGGGATGTTGATAAACATAAAATTCCTGCACAATTAGAACTAATTTACTGAATATTGAAGGGGGCAATGCACATGATATTATCACAAAGAACCCAATGCACAATGGAATTTGAACTGTTAACTTTATTTTTGTGATTACTTACCATTATATTCTTTAACTATAGTAGAGGTAACAACTATCACAAAATGTTTTGTAGGCTCATCCAGTTTATTTTGTTGTTTGGTAAGGTGATCAATGCATTGACCCCATAGTCTTACTTTGATGTGTTTCGCCCTACATGGTAACAAAAGTGAGTACATGTGATTGGACGTTACTTGAATTTTGTAGGATAAAAAAACTATATAATTTGTAAATAGATATGAAACATACCACTGGTCTTCTATTTCAATAGTTTCACATCCATTAGGATCATAATGGTACACAACCATGGCAACCACATCTGCAAGAACAATATTTAGTAGTATAAATTGATTATAGAAATATAACACCAATATAATATTTAGTAACAATATTTTTTCATAACAGTCAAAAGATATTTACTCCAAGACGACTCTTTAAATTGTTGAAAGATACAAAGTCAAATTTATAATTCGGCACTTCAATTGCTTCTCCTTTGACTTCTTTGATGACAGTGTTATGGAAGAATTGTAGCATGATTTTATTATCGGATACAACATGATACTCTTCTTTATTTGGAACCACTGAGAAATATTTTATGATGTGTATCATTCCTTCCTTTATTTTGGGACGTAATGTATGAACATATCCACTTCTTATAGATGCATAAACATAATTACCCTGCGACCACCCAAAAAATATCATTAGTTTTTTTCTAAAACAGGTGCATTTAAAATTGGAAATTTAAGAAAAAGCATATACCTCTTCATTGATCATAACCATGTCTAGACAAATTAAGCTTCCTTGCCTTTTGTGATTGATGACATCACAGAGGCGCGCAACACGAACTTTGATTGTCCAGTCAGACTGGGATGTGTCAAGCTGGCATATTAGAAAATAACTTCTGCATTTTATGGAATATTAATCAATCAGGTATAATTCATAATAATATAATGTATCATAAACATGTGAATGATAAAGTATTATATGTACATAGTATTCAATAATATATCATTAAAATTGCAGTAGAAACTTATATATGGTGATGACATTCTTGATATAAGAACACTAAACAATAGAATTCTTCAAACTAAGGAGAAAGTCAATAGTGAAAATACACTTTAGTTTTCATTCTCTTTGAAAATAGCTTACATATGCACTATAGGTAGTTTTTTATGTTTCTAATTCTAAACTTAGAAACATAAAATATACTAAAAGTTTACTCCATAATTACGTAGCTTTAGATTTAGAAACTTAAAATATACTAAAAATTTATTCTAAAGTATGAAATTAGAAATTAAAAGATGATGAATAAAATCATC